TTGGTGGCTGAAGATGCCTCCAAGCCACCCAAGGAAGCTTTGAGCACCCTCATCCAGGGGCAGCCACACTCTCTCCAGCAGGACCAGCAAGAGGGGTCACTGGACCAGTAGACAAGCCACGCTGGAAGGCCACAGGTCACCTCCCCACCCTCCCTGTCTCCCTAAGCTCTGCGAGCCAGGTCCACCCTGCTGCCCCATCCTCAGGACACCTCCACGGGCCAACATCTGGGTTCCTTTGTGCCCATCCCAGCACCACCTCGACCTCAGCAGAAGTTTGGGTCCTCCACCAGACCACCACGCTCGACCCTAGGACAACCAACCCCCCCCCCCCCAAAAATCCCCTTCCCTGAGGTCCATCTGTGACCCCAAGGCTGGAGCTCACCTCTCAAGACGGTGACGTTCCTCAAGGCCTCCCCGTGCCGCGCGTCCACCGCCTTCATCTCCTCCACCACCATGGAGAGGTTACGGATGTCCAGGTCCAGGCGGGCGCTGAGGAGGCCGTAGCCTTCCCTCAACCCTTCCGCCATCCCTCGGGCCAAGCTGAGGGATTTGTTGAGGTCGTCGAGCTCCTGGGCGTGGGCGTGGAAGCCCAAGGTGCAGGAGAGCCGGACGTCATCCAGGTAACGCAACATGCCGTGGACGTGGCCGTCGGTGGCGTTGACGTTGGCCAAGATGGTGCCCACCTCCACCTCGTGGGACTTCATCCTCCCTTCCAACGTCTGGAAACGCTCGGCCGTGAGGTTCTGGGCGTAACGGCCGTGGTAGAGCAAGTCTTGGAGGTTCTCTTGGTGGTCGTCTAAAGAAGAGGAGATGTTGTCCAACTGCAGCTGCAACCCCATCACCTGCAAGGCCAAGTCGTGGACGCTCTCCGAGTTCTGCCCCACCCGCCGAGCCGCCGAGGCCACGTTGCTCTGGAGGCTCTTGGCTCGCTCCTGGGTTTGGGAAGTGGTGGCCCTCAGGTCGACGAAGAGGCGGGTGGAGTTCTGCCACTCGCTCACCAGCTTCTGCAAAGTCAACGTCTCCTCCTCTGCTTTCCTCTGGATCACCCCGATCCACTCGGAGGTTTGGCCCAAGGTGAAGTTCATCTGCTGCACGGCCGCTCGGACCTCGTAGCCCTCCCGGGTCAAACCCTTCAGTGAGTTGTCCAGCTGAGAGGTCACCACCCTCCAACCCCCAACTTGAGCCAGGAACTGCCCCAAACTCTCGTTGACCTGCTGGATGGTGAGGGAGCAGTTGTCCACCTCGCCGCTGATCTTGCTGCTGGTGGATGAGAGCTGGTCGTGGGTCTGGGAGGTCCTGTCCAGCAGGATTTCTTGAACCAAAAGCATCTTCTGGATCTCCTCCAGCTCTCCCTGAAGCTTGGTGATCTCCTGGCCCAGCTCTCCTGTCTCGTGGCAGAAGGAGCAGTTCCCCCAGCTCTTCTCATCTGAAGGAAAGGGGCTGTTACCCCACCCTGTCCCTCAGAGGGCCTGGAGACCCTCCTGCTGAGGACCAGACGAGCCCCACGCCACCAACCCACCCCAGCCCCCACCCTCGTCCTGCTCCTGCCACCTCTCTGCAGCACCTTCTCCAGAAAACCCCACCCCACCCTCGGGGGTGGTAGAGTCACCCCACCCCAAATCCTTGGGAGATAAGTGGGGGTTTGACCCCAGGACCTGAAAAGTGGAGATGCTTCAGTCCCTGGCTGGCAGCAGGGAGCAGCTGAGGTCCTCTCAGGTGGAGGGACACGTGGTGGAGGTCTCCAGGTCCACGTCCAAGGCACTCACCCAAGCTCTGGAGATCCTCCTGGAGGGACACGATCTTCTTCTCGTAATAGACCTGGGCTGAGCTGATGTTGGCAGAGATGGAGTTGACTTTCTTGAAGACTGTGGAGGGAAGGTGAAGGCTCAGGGGAGGTGGGCAGACCTCGAGAGGTGGTGCCCCTCCACGCTCCCTGCTTAGGAACGTGGCCAAGGCTTGGAGAGCCAGGCTGGGTGACTAGAGGCTGCTGGATGGGTGTCCCGAGGGGGGCTTTGGGGTTCAGGGCTTGGCTGAGGTCCACAGAACACCTCCAGGGCTCCTCCACCGAGCCTGGGGCACCATTTCTTGCCCCTGGAGGAAGTTGGGGTGACCACCTCTGGGTTGGGAGGTGGTCCCTGAGGTCCCCATGGAGGGGGTCAAGCCACCCCTGGGCACGGCGGCATCCCACACGGGGTCCC